TTTTTCCCCCACCCTGCGAAGCTTCTCAAGAAATAAAACACTCTCATTCCACATTGGGATGCAACCAAGACCTGTTAACGATTTCCATGAAAAAAAAAAAAAAAGAGAGAGAGGAGAACAGAAGCCCACCTCATAATGACTAATGAACAATCACAAGGGCATTCTGTTGGGATTCTGGAAATCCACATTCAAATCCATGTTCTGCTTAATTTAAGCCATGGACTTGAACTTCAGTCTCTCACATCCATGTTTTGATGATGCTGGAGATGGTCTCTAATTGGATGGGGACAGCCTGAGATTCAGGTCCCTGGTATGAATCAGTGAAAGCAGTCTTGCACCTAGGCCTCAGAGGCTGCTGCCATAGCTATTGTGCAGTTAGGTAATGTAGGTTGCATCTTTCCCAAAAAGCCTTCGTTTCATCCTGATGTGGAATAGGAACATTTTTGAACTCCTGAAATTTTCACCAGGCAGGAAAATTGTTTCCCACCCACTTCTCACTTGAACCTGGATGTTGATGATCCTTATGTCCTCACTTTCCTGTTTGGCCTACAGCCATGGTTCAGCTCTCCTGCTCCCCAAAAGGTTTGCTTCTCTGCTATCCCCTGGTGGATGTCTGTCCATCAGCTCAAGCTCTACTTGGCTAAACTAGAATTCCTAAACTTTCTCCCAAGATCTCCCTCACCTTCTTTTTTGAAGGCTATGGACAACATTACCATCCTGCTTGGCCACCTGGAAGCTGTCTGTCATCTTAGATTCAGTCCTCTCTTCAGGTCATCCCTAAATTTTGCCAGTTTTTTCCTACATAACATTTTTAAGATATAGCCAGCTGCAACTCTTGTCCAAGCTCTCATCATACATCTCGGTTATTGCAACAGCTCTCTCTCTCAGCCCTGACTAATGCCATCCTGCCCTGTTCATAGCATCCAGCATGCTTCTGCAGAGATCATTTTTCCTGTTTTTCTGACCTTGTTACTACTTTTTACTTATCCCTTCACTATTTCCTCTTCCTCCATCAGATCAAATATAAATTACCTGTCTTTGCTTCCCAACCATGCCTTCTCTCATCTCTCCGTCACTATCAGAAAGTTGCCTCTGGTCAGCCCAGGAGAACAGCTTCCATCATCTGCATTTTAGATTATCCAACAAGCACCTTTATCCTTTCTATGGCACTGCTCATGCTTGGGAGGAAGTCCCATAAGCACCCACAAAGCTACCTCGTTATCCTCCTTCAAAGCTCTCATTAAAATTCTTTTTGCCAATGGTTATGGAGAAGTTGGGCAGCTGCTATGCTGAGAGCGGTGCCTCATGCTGACCAACACTCTCGTTGTTCCTTTATGTTCCCCCATCTGCCGGCTGTGTCCTGTCTTATATGTAGATTGTCAGGTCTTTGGAGCAAGAGCCATCCTTGTATTCTGTGTTTTTACATTACCAACCACAATGGGGTTCTTGAATAAAGCTTCTAGGTACCACATTAATAATACTAATAGTCAGCTTGCATTACCATCAGTTATAATGAGAAGTATGGAGCACCTATTATTTTATGAATACATCTTCGTTGTCTTTGTTCATATCTAGCCTAGTGAAGAGGATTATTCAAATACTGTTATTAATGTAGCTCAGTTGATGTATACAAAAAAAAAAAAGGCTTAGTTTTAGGACTTAAACCCAAGGACCTCCAGTAAAAACTAGTTTTCCTTGCAATCTTGAGGCAATCTAAACCATGAGTGATAGTGATAAAATAGTAATGGATACACAACAGCAGTCATTAAGAGGGCACATTTGAGGAGATACTTATGCAGAAGAAAAAAATGTAATTTATTTAAAGCACTCCAAAAATCCATAATTTTGCCAGAAGGAATTATTACCAAAAGGATGGATTTTCGTTCATTTAGTGGAAGTATTGAAGTTTCCCAATACACTGATCTTTTATGAAGTTAAAAAGATTCTGCTGTCACACTGAAAAGGGTTTTGGTGGTTTTAGAGGACCGTAGCATATGAAGACAGCTCTAGCAACATTTGTTCTCTAGCTACTTAAAAAAAACCCAACAGAATGAGCAAACAGGTTGAAAGAAGTGGTAAAAGTATCTTTCATGAATTAGTTACTCAACACATTTATCTCCCTTATGAATAACTATTTTTGATAATTTACTTATAATAGATGAACAAATATCCATTTGGACTGTACATAAACTAATCACTTAACTATCTCACCATTTGTTATTCATGATTTCAAGTCTAGTCACTTAAATCCGGTGATATCATTTCCAATTCCTTACTGGGTGAGTTGAAATTTCAGGAGAATAAGAAATGGTAAATGGATTCCGTTTTCTTCCTAAGTTAATGTATTTCTCCACTTTTAGTTAAAGGAATGAAGAATAGGCAACCCCGGATAACTGTGTAAGCAAAAATTTTTTACATGAATTTTCATAGACAGTGAATGTAAAGGTGTAGGGCATAATCTAACCAAATGGCCTTTTGGCATTGCCTCTACTCTGTCACCTCAGTTGGTGATACGTTCAAAGTCACAAATCCTGGGTTCTGTTCTTCACTTTGCAGCTGACTTGTTGATACTTTAGGTGAGTTATGCAATTAATTTGTCTCTGAACTTATCAGCTGTAGGACAATACTCATCAGAGGCTTCTTCTGTAGGTAAGTTTTGTTGTTGCAGATAATCCTGAGGCACAGCTCTCAAGCTTGGTTTGGGACTGAAGCACATATGCCTCAGTAAAGGCAGCTCCTCTCTTTACTTTTCACTGCCACTATGATAACCACCTGAGAGACAAATCACTTCAGAGTGATTATCACAGGCCACACTTTAATCATTACATGTGCAGGTCTGCATAAAATATTTATTTTAATTATAGTCTTGTCCCTGTAGACCTAATTATCATTAGTTATATTTTCCGATATGATTTTCTTTGTAATCAGCTCTGCAAAGGCTACAGTTACTAACTTAAAACCCTCTGTGATTACAGTAAACATTGGCAGATCAATAATCATTATATTTTGATTTTTTTTTCCCCAGCACAGACTTCCTGGGCACAAAGGAGGCATCTTTGCTACTGATGGCAATGTTCCTGTTAGCCGTATTTTATCATGGCCAACAAGTAAGCCCAACCTTTACTTTAACTGTTCACTTTACAACTTGTAATTGCAAGACATGGCAATAATTACTTTCAAAATATCAGCTGCCATTTGAAGCAAATATTTTTTATCCAGTTGAGCATCTGACCTTTAATAATTTAATTAGCCATAAGCAAATGCTGATTAAAGAAGGCTCTCTACATAGATTTTGTGATTCTTAAGAACCACATTACAAAGCTGTTAATAGAATGAGAAAGAATAAATGTGAAATCATCCATCTTAGGATCATATATGGCTCTCATTAACATGGTATATAAATGCTTCACTGTCTGTGTAACAGCCTTGTGGGATAGGGAAGTACTGGGATCTTCAACTTACAGATAAGGAAGAAGCACTGCAGAGATGCCAAATAACTTGGCCACAGTCACGTTGTCCATGATAGGGCAGGAACTTGAATACAGGTCCCCCCATCTCCTATGCTGGAACCCTTCTTCCCCTGGTACAGCCTTCCTACCTGGGATGCCTTTGAATTTCATAATTTTGGATAAATTGGACCAGAACCTGAACCCCTCCCTACTTGTGGATCTTGTAAGCCCCTAACCTTATCCAAGTGTTGGAAAGCCAGCCCAGGGATATGTCCATCTCTAATGAAGTACAAACTTCTCAGGGTTGTACAAGAGGAATTTCCCAGGACAGTGCACGCCTGTAAAGAAAATATCCAGGTAACGTTACCTGATCTCTTTTGTGAATAAACACTAGAAGACCAAGCCCCTAGCGCTGCCCTAGCTAGGCAGGGTTAACTTTTGGTGTAGAGTTCATTAGAGCTGCACTGGGACAGTGTGGAGGACCAGGGCTTCAGGGGAAACAGGTAGGGCTTATCTATAAAGATTCAAGAAATGCCACCAAAAAAGCACCCTCCAGCTCTTGGCTCCCGCTTTCCTAATGCCAGTTCTGAACACCCTCCAACCCTTGGCTCCTGCTGTACTCATGCCAGTCCTGGAAAGGAGGCAATGCATCTGTGCCTCCCTGACTTCTGTGGAGCCTTCTGTGTGGGTGGCTCTGTTTGTCATGGCACGGTGTCATGTTCTCCGTGGGGGATACCCCGGTACTCGCCTGCCACATCTGGGGTGTTCTGTTTAGTAGTAGGGTTTCCTTCTGTCATGGGGAACACTCCAGGCATCGTCACTAGTGGGCTTTCCTGAAGCTCCACCTCCCCTACACCCTAGCCATGTACCAGCCTATCAGTGCCACCAAACAATGGGTGATTCAGCCTTGCTTCAATGTGGTTTCCTCCTCCCTCTCTGGCCCCTAGAGCTCACAATAGTCTTTTTTCCCCCACCACTCAGGTTTGCCCAGGATGGGGTGATGGCCTTACTGGTGGGCCTAGCCTCTCTGTGTTGAGCTCTTTTGAGTGGCCCCAGCCCATTCAGCCTCAGCGTCTGCCTTATGGCCTCCCCTCTGACCCTGGAGGGGGCTTTTGGGGTAACTAAAGTTTAACTAAAGAACCAAAAGTCCATGGAGGGGCCTCTACCCACTCCTCATTCACATGTCCTGCATCTACCAGTTTCACCATCCCTTGGTGTCCTCCCCCTGGCCAACTCCCTCACTATCCAGGATGGTGTGGCCCTTTAAATCTGGCCTTGGACCCTCCAGCTGGGTCCCTCTTCAGCCCCCTCCCCCTTGGCTGTGTCCGGGGCCTCCATCCATCCCGGTGCACCCCTGCTACACTCTCCCCCACCGCCTTCCCGCCTGCTGACCGGTGTTCCCCTATGACATCATCAGTATGCACTGGTCCCAGCCACAGAGAAAAGCGGCTGGTGAACCGCGCGGGCACTCCATCCCTCTGGGGCTCGTCCAGCCCGGCTGTGCCTGCAAGTAAATTTGCCCTGTTCTCAGGGCTTTTCTTCTCAGCATCGCAATGTGTTGTCTCTGCCGCAACCTGCACTGGGGAAGGGGTCTCCTGCCCCCTTCTCATCGCCCTGGGACAGCATCCATCTTAGACTAGCCCTGAGCACATACCAGTGAACTTGTCCGAAAGTGGTACTGGGTGCGCACTCAGGGTCACTCCACAGTGGCCTCATTTCTAGGATTTACTACCTGGAGCAAGAGCGCACTGGACACATCATGACTGCACTGCTGGATGAGTCAGCAGACTGTGTTTCTACTCATGCTCCTAAGGTCCAACAAGCCCTTAGATATTTCATTTCAGTGCAGTGCATCCCCAGCCAGGCTGGTGGGGGCAGGTATAATTTGCCACAGCTCTTAAAGGCTGCAGTGTATTCTTTTCTGCAGGTGAGGAAAGCACCACTCTGGCTGCTTTTAATCTGAGTCCAGAGAGTTGCTTCCAGGAAGAAGCAACTTGGCACTGGAGCCCATGATTCTGGCCGGCCCCATGGAGAATCAAGTCAAGGCACTCCCGGTCCAGTGCAACCATGGCACAAACAGAGCTCTAACTTGCATTCTAAAACAAGCATTTTATAGGGGTTGTGTGCACAAGAGAAGCAAAATACAGAAGTCCCTACTGCAGGGGGAAATACTCTCCTTGGTTATACTATCAATGGTATATCACTGAGCTCCCTACATACTGCAGATACTTCCTGTAGTGAAATTGGCCTTCTTCTAGGAAGATTTACTAGTCAGAGTTAAGACAAGATGAAGGACCTTCCATATCATGACAGTTATCCTTTTTCCATGTTTTATACAGCCTAGCAAAGTTTTATTTAAATCTACGACCTTATTTTGCACATCCAGGATTTTATGTTAAAATCTTGATAAAAATCTAAATCGAGTGAAGCTGTCTAGTCACAGGAAGTTGGTGTTCTCTTTCAAATCCATCTGCATTGTAGCCAAGAAGTCTAGAGAATCTGTCATGCTATACCTCTAATTACAAATAGTTCCATTAGCAGTGTGCAACAGCCATCTAAACCAGATATTTTCCATGCTAGCAACTCCATTTAACATAAAAAATAACTTGAAAATCATATTCTAAAAGTATTAAGTTTGGTTTTCATTTGCAAAAATGCTCTGCCCTCTCCCCACCAGCCATCACATACAAAACAAGGTATTTTAGCCTTTCAGATCTATTCTTTGCTGAAGTGTTTAGCTCACAAAAAAAATTAGAAGTCACAAATGGCATAAATGTATAAAAATCCTTTAAAACTCACCAAAAATATAATGCTGTAAATGTATTTCTCTAGGAAATGCTCTCAGGTACTTACTCCCTGAATAATGCATCCTGTAATGTTAAATTTAACACATTTCCTGTGCTGCTAAACTGAGGTTTTTATTAACCATGAGCAGATACCAAACAGCCTACAGCTGAACTAAGTTCACTTATTACTCCACCTCAATTAGGCCTAACAGGAGTCCTTATAAAGCTGAGGCCACTCACTGTTGCTGTTTCTTTAGTTCGTGGAAGATTTTACTATTGTAGGCTAGATTCATTTTTGGTTGCTAGTGGCTGGCTTTGAGCAAGTGTCTCTAGATAGCTTTTCATGAGTACATGTAGTAAACTCTGTATTAGATACATTTGTATACATACACAGACATAGGAAGGAAATCCTGTACTAATAAATAATTGTGATTTAAAATGCCCTGCAGTATGGAGAAAGTGCATGCCTATCTTTTAACACAGTATATGTTGCTGTAGAATACACTGATAAGAAAAGACTTTTGTTAAGGTTGAAGGAAACTGTACCCTGAACGATTCATGACTGCAGGGTAGTATGACTGCATTGTAGTAATAACTGTAGCTTGTGTACCAGTAGCATGCCATCATACTCAATCAAGGTAGCAAGAGGCTTAGCAAAGGATGTAAAATATAATTGAGAAGCAGAATAAACTAACCTGTGAATTTGCTGGGTAGATATACCTACACTAACAAGAGCATATGCATACATACGGACTAATGGCCAGTCATTCAGCTGTATTTCCCATCCTCCCACTTCTGAAACATCCATGTTCCTGGAGCATAGCCTGTAATTAATTGCAGGGAGGAACATTGTTTGGAAGCAAAAGCGAAAGAAAGACAGGATGTGAGGAAAGGAAAAAAACGGAGATCATCTCAGACGCCAGAGAGCATGGAAAACTGAGGGAAAAGGAGAGAGGTCTTCAAATGCAGGATGGTGTAGCAACCCACCCCCACCCCCCATTATAAGAGTGCAGGGTAATTCTCTAGGAACGGGTGCTTCCCCACTGGGTCTTTCCACTGCTCAAGGGTAAGTCGTAGGCCTGAGACCAAGAGTGCAGCGAGAAGGGAGAGAAAACTTTGCAAGTGCCCTGTCTTTAGCATGTGTTTAACTCCATGATGCCATTGCTTCCTCTGGGGAAAGAGCATGCTCAAGAGATGTCATTCCTAAATGCCTCCTCACAAAACTAAACTCAAGTTGAAATATTCTGAGTTGAACTATGTGCTTTAGTGCCCTATGCTTTCACTACGCGTGGTGTTTTATCTCCTGGGTGATATCCCTGTTCCTTTGGGCTATTGGGCTTTCCCTGAATATACCTATTCTCTTTTCTTTACTTGCTATTGAACATAGCCCTGATTCTAGGAATGGCACGGCAGGACCAGAAAGCCAGAAGGGCTGTGATGCAGGTCTTGAAATTAGTGTTTTCTATTGACACCGCAGCGTGGCCATTCCAGTTGCTCACAGATGAGAATGACCTGCATTTCTAGTTATTTTAAAAATCTGTGTTGCTTTGATAAGGGAGCTTTCATTAAAAATGTCCCTTTGTAAACTATTCATAGAGCCTGCTTTAAACCCTAAAGTGACATACGGTCATCCCTGGGGTAAAATACCGGAAGAAGTTGTTTGCCAGGAAAACAAAGAAAGAACACAGAATTTGAGTGGCAAGTGTAAAAATTATTCAACATGGTTTGGGGCCTACATATAAAGATTAGCTACTGAGCTTCTGGGCTGTATTCAGAGTCCCATTTTTAAATGATCCCAGCATTGGTAATTATTTTCCACCAGGGCTAAATTTTTGTATACTGGGGTTTTTTTGTTTTGTTTTGTTCTCTTTTTTTTTTTTATTTGTTTTCATTCTATTGTATAAAATAAAAGTACCAAATTATGGCTCAGAACTTGCCTGCAGTTCTCTTCACGCAGTGATCTGACGTATTCATGCCTTTTCCATCTTCACATAGAGGATACAGGTTTCTTCATCCTGCTAGGGCACAAAAAGTGAATCAGGATCTTGTATTCTCCTGTCCCGTAATGCAAGGACAAGGGGTCAGTCAAAGAGGTTGAAAGAAGGCAGATGAAAAGCTAATGAAAAGAAATACTTTTTCCAACAGGGCCTGATTAGCTTATGGGACTCCTTGACACAAGCTACAACAGAGACTGAAAGTGAAGCAAGGTACAAAAAGAGATTAGACATTTGTATCATGGACAACAACAGCCAGTCATAAAAAACCTAAAAAAAAAACTATTGCAAAAATAAAAAACAAGTTTTGGAGAGTCTGTCTGTGCTTTATGTTTCAAAGGTTAAACCTATTTCTAGCTTTTGGGAGTTAGTAGAGACCCCCATCCCTGGGGTTAAGTCAGGGATGGCTAATCTGAAGCATGAGCGCCACAAGTGGCATGAACAGCCACTGTTTGTAGCACGCAACAGATAAGGGAAAGGACAGACAGCATAGCAGCAGGCAGGGCAGGAAGAAGAAGGGAGAGCTGGAAATCAGGCAGGGAGAACAAGACAGGAAACAGAAAGCAGAGCAGGAGATCGGGCAGAGAGCACAGAGTAGGGAACAGAAAGCGCAGCAAACGATTGGGGAGCAGAAGGGGCTTGGGATGGCACTTGGAGAGGGCGCAGGGCTAAATGGTGGCATCCCTGCCAAAAGTTGGCTCCTGCTGAGTTAGGTTATCCTGTGCCACAGCTCCTGTTGACATGATACTAGACTGGATGAACCACCAGGCAGATGCAGTTTCAGTACCTCGTTCTCCCTTCCGCACCAATTTATTCTTTAACACACCTGCCAAGTGTCTTGTCTGCTCTGCTCCCAGATATTTCTAGTGATGAAACCCTTGGCTGTGTTTGCTGGCAAGTCATTTGACTGACCTCACAGTTAAAAAATGTGTTTGTTTGCTTATTGAATGTGTTCCCATTCCAGTGGTTGGGCTGCTGCTTGTTGTCTTATCATCCCAAACATCAGAAATTGTTCTTTTCCTTCTCTTGTGTTACCTTTCAAGCATCCATATATAGGCATAGCCCCATTATTTTCAATACCCCCATAGTTTAATCAGGCACCTGTCCTGAAGCCCTAAAAGAATTTAAGCAACTTCATCATCTTCCTTCCAATACCTCATTAAAAATCTCCTTGAATGTGACAGGTATAAAAAAACTTGACAAACCCGATGCAGCCTATGTGCAGATATCCCCACTAATGAGGCAGCTGGCATTGTTTCCTTGAGTTGCTCCTGTCTGAATCCATCTCTTGCCTCTTTTCTAATATGTACATTGTACGCTGCTTATTCTGTCTCTGTACCGCCCCTAACACAAGCGGGGCATGGCCCATGACTGGAGTCCTAAGCGCTCATACAATTGAAATAGGAAATTGAGTTTTGCAGACCTTGGAAGCAGAACACGATGCCCTGTGAGCCACAGAGGCACAAGTTAATCTCCCACTAGTCAACCTAAGACTTCAAAAGGATATGCCTGCTTGCCCTGGCAGAAGCATCTCACTTCCATCATTACAAACTTGAAAGCCCTCCTTGAAGCATGTTGAGCTTTTAAACTTGCTTTTGCTGAGAGAAGGACACTTATCATTGAGAGGTAAATTACCTCTCCCTCTAGAGTATCCTGACTCACCTTCATTTTGCTTTTGTGTGCAATTCATTTAATCTGAAAACAGTTATAAAGAAGAGAGCATATGTTCTGATTTTCAGGAGTGAGAAGCAGATGATATTAACTTAACATCCTTGCCTGCTACTTGATCTCATGCCTGACTCCATAATGTCATCCTATAACAAATGCAGAGGTGTTTCGAGGGAAAATAACTTACTGACATTTCCCAGCCACTGAATACGAGATAGTGAGATGACAGGCATTATTAAGCCCTAGATTCCTTTGAGATTCTTGCAGTATGTAGCAAAATGCTGATTTTTTTTTTTGGGGACAATGAAAGCAAATTATTTAGGAGTCAAAGTGCCATTGTCTACAGCACTGAAATAATTTAGATACTAGTGACAGGTTTCCATGATGACAACACGATGTCAAGGCTTCTTTTGTCAGGTTTTAACGTTTGCCTTTCTTGGTACTCACAGCTGGAATACACAGCCAGGCTGGACTTTTTGTGGCGTGTTCAAGCAAAAGAAGAAATCAATGAAATGAAGGAGTTAAGGGAGCACAATGAAAATATGCTACGAAATATTCTACCAAGTCACGTTGCCCGTCACTTCTTGGAGAAGGATCGAGATAATGAAGTATGTATCAGTTTTGTTTGTGATATTTTTTTCCTAACAGTTAAAAAAAAAGGCAGGGGAGGGGAGGTCCTTTGGGAGGTTGCTAGAATTATGGAGTTATGGCTTATATTTGGCACTTATGACATGCAGATAACCTCAATGTTACAAAGTCCAGTAGTCAAAAGATGGGAAAAACTAGAATTAATTAAATACCTTTGCAACCTTAACCTCATCCTCTGCTTCATGTGCATTGTCACAGGCTTGCCTAACAGCATCACACAAGAAATCTGTGCTACTGCTAGGAACTAAACTCAGATCTCCCAGGTCCTTTTTTAATTGTCCACCTTGTGCAATAAATAAAACATGACCTGGTTAGAACAAGCAGCATGTGGTCACCTAATTCAAGAATGCATCACAATGAGTGTGAATTAAATTAATAAGTATATATTAAACATAAGGTTTAATTAGAGAGGGAGTTGCACTGGACAAGTTTTTCAAACACAGCAAGAAGGTAATAAAAGCTGCTGGTCCTGGGTGCCTCAGATTCTTGATGCGGATCTCAAAAGACAAGGGACGAAAGAAATACCAACATGTATTTTTGAAAGTGTCATGATCGTGAATAAGTTAAATGCTCAAAAATAGCATTCATAAGGACCAAGCTGAGTATGTTCTACAGTAAAACAAAAATAGGATTTGGCTATCTAGCCAGTTTTTTAACTGCCTTGCAAGAACCAGTTTCTGGATTCAAGAGTCCAGCAACAAGAAGGCTATTTATGTTATAGTGGAATGCGTTTCTGACTCCTCTTTTTTGGAAATAGAGATAGAAAACGACAGGAAGTCATTTTGTTCAAAAATATGTGTTTAAAATATAGCTAGGAAAGTGTTACACAGGAAGGTGCTACCTGTTGAAGAATTTCATACACTGCAAAAATTCAACTGCTAGGAAAAACAAGTGTTGGGAAACAACTGCTAGGAAAAACAAGTTGTTCAGCAAAATGTGTGTGCACATGTGTATGTACGCAACGGAGAAAACAAAGATAAAGCACCTGAAGAATTATCTAAACTCCACTTTAAGTCAATGGTGTTCTGTCACCTTTATGCTGTGGGTTCTGGGAGAATATGGGCTCCATCCTACTCCATCACTGAGATAAAAAACACACATTCATAGTCAATACTAGAATAATTTTCAGTGGAAGCATTGAGAGTAAATGCCCAATGGGTCAGTGCCGATGTATTCAATAGACTTGAAATTGTATTCTCAGCCACCACCTCTGCTTCTTTTGTAAGGCAATTTCCTGGAGTGATTATACTTGGGAAGGATTTATGAATGAGCTGGCTGGCATTAACGTCTGGCAGATTTCAGTACAGTCAATCCTGTAATTCATGCCTGACTATTAAGTTAATTCCCCATGCTCTCAAAAAATGAATTCTCAAAAGTGTACTGTAAGCATTTTTTCTTGGATTTATTATTTCTGCCTTGATGCTGCCTGCCAAAAATAGAAAGACCAAGCAGCCAAAGATTCAGCTGATTAGGTTTTATATGCAGGACTTAGGGAGAGAATATACGTGTGTATGTGTATGCACGCTCATTCATTCACATGCTCTCAACACTGACAATTAGGAAACTAATTAAGTAATAAGTGAACTCGTATATGCAAAACAGGAAGTTCTGGCCTCTGCAGTAGGTTCACTTGTTTTTGCAGAAGCACAGAAGAGGTTGGGGGAAGGAAAAGTCAGCTGTGCTCCTGAGACTTAGTGTATTACAGACATTAATGAATTTAATACTCTCTAAGATTTTAAGATCCTTAGCCCTGTGTTTTGTTTTTTTAATCGATGAGTAAACTGCTGAACAGACAGGATAAGAGGTTTGCTCAGACCGTAGACCAAGTCAGTAGAATAAATAATAACAGAAATAAAGAATCCTGATTCCAGACCTCTTGCCTGTCAGACAACACCATTTCACAAATGAGGTCATCAGTCTATCAGACAAAGATATAGCATGTTCCAGTTTCTGGAACAAACACAAAATGAAATACATTCATAATAGAACCAAGGTGCAAATTTTTTAATGTTGCAACAAATCATAGAAAATGAGGGTTGGCAGGGACCTCAGGAGGTCACACCTAGTCCAAGCCTCGGCTCAAAGCAGGACCAGCCCCAACTAGATCATGCCAGCCAAGGCTTTGTCTACCCAGGTCTTAAAAACCTCCAGGAATGGAGATGCCACAACAACCTCTCTGGGTAACCTGTCCCAGTGCTTTACTACCCTCCCCCTGAGAGAGTTTTTCCTAATATCTAACGTAAACTTTCTTTGCTGCAACTTGAGACCGTTGCTCCCTAATAACCAGTAGGCCTGTGCAAGTCGGCAGCGGTCTGATCCGGCTTCGGATCCAGCTGCTTTGGATGGCTGCGATGAGATCGGGACCTCGAGACCAGGTTTGCACCTCCATCCGGCCAAAGCTTTGGAGCCACCTCAGACATCCAGCGATAGGGTATAATGGGGAATCAATGAAGTATCTATAACTTTGTTGTTTGTTGTCCGATTTGGATGAAATTTGCAGAGATGGAGAGCATAAAATCTGCCAAGTTTCAAGAAGATCAGTGCAGGGGTTTGGGGGGAACTGTACCCCAAATTGTTGAAAGCCAAACTCATGTCACAGCTGTGTGTTACAACACAGGGGATGAAAACTGCAGGGATGGTAGCTCTTACTGAAGCCACAAAACCTGCTGAGTTTCAAGGAGATCGGTGCAGGTGTCTGGGGGGAACTGCACCCCAAGCTGCAGACAAGCAAAACTGGTGCCATGGGTGACACTGCGCATGCTAAAGCACAGCGGGGTGACAGCTGCAGGGATGGTGGCCCCTGCTGTGACGCCTGCCAGCTATCAAGGAGATGGGTGCAGGGGGAAATCTGGAGCCCTGCACCCCTAGCTGCTGACGGGCAAAACTGGTGCCAAGACTGTGTCCGTCTTGGAGCAGTTGATTGTCTGTATTGAGTCTTTCCTCTCCTTAGCCTGGCTTTGTAGGTGCTAATTGCTGCTCATTTGGTAGTTATGTAGTAGCTGGGTCCTGTGTATTGAGCTGGTCCCTGAGTCCCTGGTCCCTGAGTGAATCATGAGTGATTGATGGGTAACTGGGAACACAGCAGCTCAGCCCCGTCCCGCCCCAGGACAAACACAGTCAGTCCCACAGCACCCATGGCACCAGTTTTTCTTGTCTGCAGCTTGAGGGGCAGGTCCCCCCCAAACCCCTGCACCAATTTTGAAATTTGGCATGCTTTGTGGCCTCAGCAACCGCTACCACTCCTGCAGCTTTGACGCTCCTGTGTTGTAATGTGACAGGAGTTTTGCCTTCAAAAATTTGGGGTACAGTTGCCCCAAAACCCCTGCACCTATCTTCTTGAAACATGGCAGGCTTTGTGGCATCGGTAAGAGCTACCACCCCTGCAGTTTTCACCCCACTATGTTGTAATGCCTAGATGTGACATGAGTTTGGCTTTCAAGAATTTGGAGTGCCATTGCCCTCAAACCCCTGCACCGGTCTTCTTGAAGCTTGGCAGGCTTCATCTACTACCCCTGAACATTTCATCCAAATTGAACAAAAACCAACAAAGTTATAGCTTTTTTATTGTTTCCTCATTATACCCTATGGCCGGATCTCCAAGGTGGCTCCAAAGCGCTTTGGAAAGCCAAATGAGGCCGGCACTTCCACCCGGACGTGTTGCTTCAGTCCCCAGAGCCTCCGAAGCTTCTCCAGATCTGAAGCTGTGTCCGAAGCCTCGCACAGCCCTATTAACCAGTTGACCCCCAGTTTGTACTGGTGCATGGGATTGCTCTGTCCTCAGTGTAGGACTTTGCAGTTGTCCTTGTTGAACCTCATGAGATTTCTTTTTGCCCAGTCCTCCAATTTGTCTTGGTCACACTGAATCCTGGCCCTACCCTTCAGCCTGGTTGTGGGAGATCATATCAAAAGCCTTGCTAAAGTCAAGGTATATCACATGCACTGCTCTCCCCACATCCACAGAGCCAGTCGTCTCACCATAGAAAGCAATCTACTTGAGCAAGCATGACTTGCCCTTGGTGAATCCATGCTGACTGTTCCTGATCACCTTCTTCTCCTCCAAGTGCTGAGAAATGAATTCCTTGAGGATCTGCTCCATGATTTTTCCAGGGATTGAGGTGACGCTGACCTGTCTGTAGTTTCCTGGATCCTCCTTCTTCCCTTTCTTAAAAATGGGCACTGTAATTGCCCTTTTCCAATCATCTGGGACCTCTCATAATTGCCACCAGTTTTCAAAGTTAATGGCCAATGGCTCTGCAGTCACATCAGCCAACTCCTTCAGCACCCTTGGGTTCACTGCATCCAGCCCCATGGACTTGTACATATCCAACTTTTCTAAATTGTACTTAACCTGTTCTTTCACCACTGTTGGCTGCTCACCTCATCCCCAAACTATGCTGCCCAGTGCAGTAGTTTGGGAGCTGACCTTGCCTGTGAAGACTGAGGTGGAAAAGGCATTGAGCACTTCAGCCTTTTCTGCATCCTCTGTCACTAGGTTGCCTCCTCCATTCAGTAAGAGACCCGCACTTTCCTCTTGCCATTGACATACTTGTAGAAATCATTCTTGTTACCCTTCATATCCCTTGCTCACTTCAACTCCAATTGTGCTTCAGCTCCAACTTGTGTCTGGATTTCATCCCTGCATGCTTGAGCAATATTCTTCTATTCCTCCATAGTTGTTGGTCCAAGTTTCCACTTTTTATTAGCTTCCTATTTGTATTTTAACTCACTGAAGAGTTCCCTGATAAGCCACGCTGGTATTCTGCCATACTTGCTAGTCTTCCTGCGCACTGGGATGGTTCATTTTTGCAACCTCAGTAAGGTTTCTTTAAAAGACAAAGAAACCTGGACTCTTGTTCTGGACTCTTTTCCCCCTCAGACTGGCCTCCCACAGGATCCTGCCCATCGTGGATCCTCCCTGGAGATCCTGCACAATGACCAAGAATTGTGGCAAATACCCTATCACCAGCAATTTCTAAATCCTTATCAGATTTTTGTACTAGAGAACTTCTTTAAAAAACAAAGGAATTAATTCAGAGATATCCCATGGTCTGTATTTTATGTAAAAGGTTAGACTAAATGTTCACGCTGGTCTCTTTGACCTCATAATCAGTAAATCTACACATATATTATCATTTCAAAGAAATCATGAGATTGGCTGAAAAATCATGAGCTCTTTATGTGGTATTCTTTTTATTGGCCTTTGAGTCTTTAGGGGTCAAGTTTTCAAATGTTTCTGGAAAGCTAGATATTTTCATTAGTATTTTTTTACAGTCACATAATTCCTGGAGCTTGGGCTTTAAGAAAAACTCCAAAATCTTGCATTTCAAGACAGAATTGAAAGTATTGGTGAGAGTTGGTGATCTCATTGAAAATCTATGTAGTCACTAATATGTAAGAAATGCCATATCTTCAACTCACTTCTACATAAATAAAATTACAGAAACAGGTGGTTATCTGCAGACAATTCACTTCTTATCCCTGGCCATCATGCCTAATGGTATAAATTTCCACTACAATTTATGTTTTTCCTCTGTTCCTTTAGGAATTGTACTCTCAGTCCTATGATGCTGTTGGTGTGATGTTTGCTTCCATCCCTGGTTTTGCTGACTTCTATTCTCAGACTGAAATGAATAACCAAGGAGTAGAGTGTCTGCGTTTGCTGAATGAAATTATTGCAGACTTTGATGAGGTAATGTGGGCTATCAGAGAGGGGACTCGATAGGATTTAAATAGCAAACACCTAAATCAGTAGGTATAACATTTGTACCAGCACAAATATTGACATTTTTATGCTATTTCTGGCTAGAAATTACTACAATTACTGTTTCGTCAAAATGTTCATGCTCCTGTACGGAGAATGCCAAACACTGATCTTAATTATGCCATTAAGGTGAAGAATAGAATCAATGGAGTTCCTTAGATCTTTACCTGTGTACTTGAAATTATCTCTTCTAATATGCCTGGATAAATAGATAGATATGGAATATATTGTGATGTGAAAGAGTAAGACAATGGAGGTATTTGCTACAAAAGAGTGGTCCATCTTGTATGAAATATAGATGTTTTTATGGACATAAGGAATATGAAAGCCAAAATAATGGTCAGAATCAGAACAAATACTCAGATTCATAGAGTCATCTTCTCCATCTTCTTGAAAGAAGGTGGTAGTTGAGGATTGAGAGGTTGTTCTGTTTGGATTAAGGATATTGTCTGATCAGTAGGTAGAATATAGTTTCATTAGTTGGAGTAAGCTTCTTGGTGAAAGTAGCTTGGGTTCACCTAGTTGGACTAAGCTGCTTGGTGAAAGTAGTGATTGCTGAGATATAGGTAGAAAAGAATGAGACGAGGATTTAAAGTGTAAAAGGGACAAATTTAGGTATCATCTCCATAGGAAAGATAAACAGGGCTGATTTCAGTGAGGAGGCCAAGGGGGCTAAGATATGCAAGAGGAAAAAAGTCCATCTAGCTCTGACCTCAAAAGTTTTGATGGCACAGAAGTAACCACTGCCAGTTGTGAGCAAGGAGCAGTTGGAGGGTAGAGTGAGAACAGGGAGCAAGCTGTTCAAAGTTATCACAGACTCTGCCATTCAATTAATAGGGATGCCAGAGCAGATGGTATTAAACCCTGCAGTGAGCTCAGGAAAAAAATGAAGAGAACTGAAAGGTGTCTGAGAACTGAGAAGATCTTTAATTTCATGAAGAAAGAGAGTTTAAGAACTGTGGAGTGGGTAGCAACTGGTCTGGAAGCTATCCCGTATAGAAGATTTCTACGTGGGAGCTGCAAAAGGGTTTCAGTAGGTTGTGAATGCCCAGCTCTTTCCATTTCACTAGACAGAAGAGGGTCTAGATTCCTGCTGGAGAGCCAGGGTCAGTTCCAGGATGGCAAAGCTTGAGAGCTCCTGGTCCAAGACATTGTTTTTTGGAAAAGCGACTTCAGAAGGTTCAGAAAAAAATCATCTCACCCCAGGATTTTGCTGAGGAAGGGAAGACTGGAGATAAGTTTGAGGCCTGATGAAGAAGAACATGGAGACAGGAATCTATTGCTGCCCTTTCCTGATCTTATGGGCGCCGAGGAAAGTCCCAAAGGATATTGAGTGGTTGCTGACTGCTGAGACCCTGTATCTGGGAGTCAGGAGGGGATGAAGTGATGAAGCCAGGAGGAGATGATTTGATTCCATATCGGGGAATGTAATCAATACACTGGGTCTGAGATCTTCAATGCCCTTAGACACCTGGGCCCCATGACAGCACCCACCACTCTAAGCTGGGTGCCTACACATGAGGAGAGTTCAGTACCTCAGTACCACAAAAGCCAGAGTGCTGTGCAAGGAGCTTTCCCAAGATAACCAATGGGAAATTCCAATTTTAAATCCCACTCTTCTCAGCATGGGCACCTTATTGAAGATCAAGGAGGGGTATATCCTTCCACTCAGGATTTCTCCACTGTCCTGGCAGGAGATGTCCCTGGATCCTAATTCCTAGAGCCAGTTCCCAAGTCCAGATAAAAGTGAGTGGCTTGGGCAATGGTTTAGTGAGCCATCTATATATAGTAACCCCTTCCCTTCAGATGTACTCTTGAGTAAGCCCTTTCTTTCAGAGATCAAGGATGGATATCACCTTTGATTCCATAGTGGTGGTGCCCCATTCCATCCGAGAGCTTGGTGGGGAGAGCTCTCACCCAGCCAGTGCAAGGCTTGGATTTAATTCCTTCCTTTGGCTAAGGAGACTCAAATCCACATCCTCGGCCTCCAAGGAGAGTGCCCTGGCCCCTAGGCAAAAAGTCAGACTTCCTCTCACTCTCCTCTTATAGCCAATGAGTCTTTTATTATTCTGCAATTTGGAATACCTTCAGTATCGTTATACAAACACCTCACAGCTCCTGACAAATTCACCCTCTGCTAGAAGTGTTATCTCCATTTTACAGATGGGAACCTGAGGCATAAACACTTCCAACGCAGTTCAGGAACAGAAATTGGGACCCATTTCTAAGTCAAGAACAGAGTCTTAATGACAACACCTCCCCACAGCCCAAGAGGGGAGAGTTAGTGGCATAGATTTTGACTTTGAGGTATTTACCAGTTGTAAGGTCTTGGAGAGAGAGATGGATCTGGGGAAAAGTTGCTAGATTACTACAGATAACAAGATTAAGGCTGCGTCTGCAGAACTGGTTGAAGGGGTACAAAAATTGCTGTGGTAAGGTAGGGAACATGACGGAGGACTAGGAGAACAGTCTGTCGTGTTTGCACATTCGGATGTAGCATAACAAAATTTCCAATACTGTTCCTTCATGGCAAGAACTGTCACTGCTAAGCCTCTGCACTGCCATTCCTGTAGGTATAAATATCTGATTTTATACCTCAGCTTTTGCCCAGCTGTCAGTACATTGCTATATTAATGGTTTTGTTTTTCTTTGATCTGATTAAAAACTTCATGGCTCAAAATTTAATGCAAAGTTTATGCCATGAATTAATTTTAAAAAAGCCTCATCATGCATGTAAGTGCAATTTTCACATTGCTATAGCAGTGATCATTAAAGACAGCCCTTTCACCAGGAACCTTAATGAAAATTCACATTCAGGTCCCTGACACCTACTTTCTAATTAATGAAGGCCTAATTAGGGACTGTATTTTGTCTCAGAAATCTTTAGCTGAATAATAGATAGGTTTGGGGTATGGGTATTAAATGTAATGATGTGGTCCCTTGACGGCTGCTAACCTACTTCTACTGTGGAATATATGAGTTCACTCCAGCTTGACTGTGGTCCATAGCCAAGTGGCTTTAAGTGAACAAGTAAAGAGATTTAATCCTCTTACATGGAGGATGCATACACAAACTTGGCTGCAAGGGGACAGAAGTCATTGTTTCCTATTTTCTGATGCAATATTTTAGAGCTGAAAGTCTTGGGGGAACATTTTCTTGTCAGTATTCATTTAAGGTGGAGGGTATCCATTCCCCTTGAGCTCCATGGTACTTCCTGCCAACATTTTAATACTGCCCCTTGTTTACAGCCTTGGCAGTATGCTGTGGCTGCAAAGCCTGAGAGTAGCACTGTCAGCTGTGGAAAAATATTGCTTTCTGGTGTTGCTTCAATGAAAGACGTTGGGAAACAATCACTTAGCTGTTAAGAGCCAGAAGACTGACTCAGAGAAATAGCCACTTCTTAGTCAACATGTCTGCATCCTGTGTGGAATCAGACTGGGAGCTGCTGACTACAGGGGTATTGACTGCAACTCCTTATTACTCCTTTTAGTCATATAGAGCCAGTGCATCTGAAAGCAAGACTGATTGTTTGGATGGTGCACCATCCGTAACTGTTAAAAGATTCTGCCAGTGCAGCATGCTTATCACTGGAGACGACATGTGAGCAAGGCAAAAAATACATCTTGACATTCAGTCTAGGCTGAGTTAGCATCCCCAGCAGGTGGAATGAAAAAAATCCCTGATGGAGTGAGGGAATGTCAGGTCTTTATTTAGGTTGCCATTTTCTCCCACTGGGGGGAAAAGTACCTTGTTTTTTTAATTGATATCCCCCCTGCACACAGGTGGGTTGATATTTTGGTGGCACATGGTTGGGTGATCTCAGAGAACCTTTGCTCTGTATCCTGCATTGCCTCATGGCCCACCAGTCTGACCTTCAGTAGCTGCTCTTAAAACTGTCAGGTTATGCAGGCCTCTGTCTAATGGAGCAAATTAGGAGGCTTTGAGTTCAGGAATGGCATAGGAGTCTTCTAGAGTGATACTGTGTCATTTTAGAACCCATTTGTCTGTGATTATTTATTCTGTATGTATGCACAGGGGTGCCGATAGGCATGTCATACATAGGCAAATAAATGTGGACACTGCCATCCCCGTTTTATAGCACCACTTTTCAGAACCTAAAATGAATATTCCAATAACTCAGTGTTTATATAACAGCAGCCCCCACAAACTGGGACCAGAGCCAAGCCCTGGTTGCTACAGATGATGTACAAAAGAATCACATATTGACACTGACATTTTTGCTGTTCTGAAAATTGCAGAACTTGGAGTCTTTTTTGAGATCTCTTTCTTTCTGTTTAAAGGGGTCTTGGTATCTTGGTGCTGATAGTACTGGTACTGGTGTTTTTAATAAGGACTTTCTACTTCATGAACCTTCCCCCACACTTCCCCTCCTCTTTACCTTGCAAGGATTTATGCTGTGTTCAACACTGATATGTTTTGCTGCCGCAAAGAAGATTATCATAGATTATGATTTAATGGCAGGGTCACACTTTCAGGCTTCACTGATTATTTTGCACTTGCAAAATATGTCCAGGTGCATGCAGATGGATACTACTGAAAACAATCTATCTATCTATCTATCTATCTATCCACATATATATATATATTGAGAGAGAGAGAGAGAGAGAGAGAGAGAGAGAGAGAGAGAGATCTCAACGTCAAGAAGGGTAAAGTGCTCCACCTCGGGACAAGAAACCCCCAACACACCTACAGGCTTGGTGGCACCAAACTGACTAGCACCAAGAATGAAAGGGACCTGGGGTAATCATAGACCACAGTATGAATACGAGCCGGCAGTGCAAATTTATAGTTCATAGTTTCATAATTGTTAGGAGCTGGAAGGGACCTTACAGATCATCAAGTCCTGCATGTGTGCAGGAAAGACTGCTGGGATCAAATGATCCCAGCAAGGTGGGTGTCAAGACATTTTTTGAAGATTGCTAGGGTGGATGACTGCATATGTATAGATTCATAGATTGTAAGTGCAGAAGGGACCTTGGAAGATCATAAATAGTTGAGAAAGCCCACTTGCATTCTTTGTATGTCACAGATGTCCCATTGATGTTGGATACATGACAAATGCAGAATCAGGAATCAGGATGCTGGTTACTTGTTAGGCAAATGGTAGATGTCAAAACTATGCCCTATTTTTTCTTGGAATTTGTTGAATGCATTAAGAATATTTTTTAAAACTTCCAAACAAAACACAAAAGATGATTCTGAACTGATTCTAAACATGGTTACTTCGTTATTACAGTCCACTCATGGAGAAAAACAAGGAAACTTTGTTTTAAGCATAAAATTAGGACTGTTACAAGAGCAGGCTCTGGGTGGTCTGGCCCAATAGTGAAGATCAGGAGTTAGAAGCAACCAAGACTGGGATCCCTGGTGATGAAGCAATGCAAAAACCAGGTTCCAAAAGGCAATAGCAAGAACAGAAAACCAAAAGGAAGGAACCAAAGTAAAAAAACAGAACAGGAGTCAAGAGCCAAAGCCAGGAACTGGGAACTGGGATATGACTTCACGAGCAAGGCAATAAGCACACTAGGAATCTGTGGGGCAGGCTGAAGTCCAAACATAGACTTCAATATGCAAAGCAGGCATCATATGGTATGCAGCCTGCCATGTGTCAACTGGCCAGTCAGACTCCATGGATCTGACAAGGATAGACTCGAGATATAAAGGAGGTTTAGAAATAACAAAAGACAAAATAGAAGATAATTTATAGAGAATTATCTCAAATCATCTATCAGTCAAACACTTTTTATCTTCTTCATAAAGGCATATTTTAGATACTTGTCAGGGATTCAAATTAGATTTACATATTGAAGGACTGAATAAATGAATGTCTCATGGCCAGATCATGGAGAGATGGCATCCAAGTTAGGGGGCAGACCCACCTCAGAGGGCTTGAGGTAGGAATCAAGCTGGGGACCAAGATACAGAAATTATGGTCAGCTCATTACCAGAGGGAAACAGCACATACAGAGCATGTTTGGGGAGGGAAACAGCACATACAGAGCTTTTGAAAACAGTTTGAAAAAAACAAAAATGGGTCAAGTTTTGGACTTTCCAACCTTGGAGGAGTGCCAAACACCATATGGCTTTATATTCCCTACATATGAGGCAGTTCAACATTCCATTAGAGACAGATGGTGTGGGATCCATAAATGAGACACAAAGCTTTCAAAACCCCAGATTCTCAGACTGATGTCCAATGTGATTAGCTCAGTGAAAGTGCATCTTTAATGTTATAGCTATGGTATGAGCCCTTCTTTGAAACAAGTAATCTCTTTAGATTTTAATCAATGCAAACCGCAGGCACATGAATAAGAAGTTGGCATCAGAGCATATAATACAGGGGTAAGGCTGTGTTAAAGTTTTGCCTGAAGTGGGCTGCATACACACATTCAAATGATCTGGGAGAATTATCCCAGACTCGTTTTCCTGATAAGAAACCTTACCTAGAGGCTTCTGAACAGACATTCAAATGCTGAGCCCATGAAGAGCAGACAGCTTGCAGTGCTGACAATGTGCAACCAGCGGGGGGGCCCTGTGTACGCATATAAGTGTCCTCTGCGGGCTCCCTCAGTCTGCCTGGAGACAGATGGCAATAGTGCATAGGGCCACCTTGTTTGGCTATCCCAGACTGCTCAGAGTCAGCCTGTGTCTCCTTTCTGCACAATGTGGAGATTGTGAAGGGGGCATGTTCTGCCCCCTGCTTGTCTGAAACAACCAGTGAGTGAAACACTTGTCTCCCTCAAAGGAGGGGCAGGAGCAAAGCATGCTGAGATGTTGGAGGGCTGTGCTGTGGTTTCTCTCAAAAGAGAATGTGGACAAAAGTTCAGTCACCCAAGGCAAACTGTCCAAGGAGTAATTTAACCTTAGTTGTTCTTGGGTTTCTTTTCCTGGAGTGGCCATTTTGCTCCAAGAGAAAAATCCTGAACTTCTCTCTGTATGCTTGTGGTTCCTCCTGGGAAAGCAGTGACTCTCCCAGGAGAAACAGAATGTCTATACTTGGCCATGGAGAGCACTCTGCTAGGATTTTAAGATTTAGAAACATTTTGGAGCAATTCCTCCACCTCCTCCCCCCATTTGTTTATGTTGTTTCATGTCTACAGCAATTATCTGAATGTATGTTAGACTTGAGTAGGTGTGTTTTGTACTATGCCTGATGGGATATACCAGTCAGGCCCACAGAGCATAGCAAAACTTTAAGTTAATTTTTCCAAAGAAGTCCAAGTGAATTCCATGCAGTCGATCAATTACAGAAGATGTTCTGCCAAATTAGACCTTCCTTACAATAAGCTGTGAGCATAATAAGTTTAGGTCTCTGTCCTTGTATAGTTTAACTCGAGATAACATTTTGCGTCAGGAACTACAGTAACGATATTGTGTTTCATTTGCTTTAGTTACTAGGTGAAGAGAGATTTCAAGACATAGAAAAAATTAAAACCATTGGCAGCACATATATGGCAGTATCAGGATTATCACCTGAAAAACAGGTAAGGAATGCTTGAAAACAAACAAAACCAAACAAGCAAAGATGTTGCTGTGATACAGCCCTGCAAAGTAAAGGATAGAAGTATCAATTTTAGCTGTTCAGTATGGTGGTATTTACTAAAAGAAAAGAGATAGTTTGATCTTCTAGCAGTTGCCAATCATGGTTCTTCTCGAAATGAATGACTATTTTATGCTCTGTAGAAGAAATAATGTGTCCTTTCCTCCGACTTAAATTATAGGGCCAAATTCTGTTTTCTGTCTCACTGATGCAGATTTGGAATAATTTCTTTTATATCAATAGAGTTACTCCAGATGTACAGAGGGCAATTCACTTTATGTAGTGTAAAAAAGGAGGGCAAGGAATAGACCCAGAGGAAAAGAGATGGAGACATAGAGAACACGTCCACACATGCAAGCACGTGCGCGTGCAGCAGCTCGAATAGGAGCAGCACAAATTTGTGCTGGAGATTTTTGCCTCAGTGCATGAGCCTGAGCATGCACTTGGTATGGGGTAAGTTGTGCCACTTGGGGCAAACTGACCCTGCCCTGCTCCTCCTGGATCTGCAGCAGGTCCAAGAGTGGGGATGGTGTCTTCCGGACTGCTTAAGATAATACCATTTTAACATTTAATCTATTTCAGGGTAGTTTTAGTATACAGGAAAGGACAGGTGTTTTGTAGCAGCAAAAAAGAGTAACTGAAGTTGAAGTTGAACTATAAGGGGTAACACAGGGTTTTGGCACCACTGTCTCAAACAGAATGGGTCTTGATTTGCCCTGAGATTTATAAGCATGTGTGCATCCCTCCTGTTAATGTCAATGGATTGAGCAGAACACATGTACTAAAGAACAGGCACCTGAAGAATGGTGCTAAGAATAAGATCAGTGTCTAAACAGGGTTATTTGATACTGTTTTCTGTGATAAAGATTAGAGTCACTGATCCATGAGTTCACGTCCCATTCTTTGTTCCTACATGATGAGTAGAGCCAGTCATTCACTGGGAATTTTTGGTGGTACTTATTCCAAATAACCAGGCCAGACTCTAAGCAGCCTTCACATTAGTGCCTCCTTTGGGGAATGAGTGCCCTTTCCCTTGAACAACAGCCCCTCCTCTTTTTTTCAGAAGACCCTCTCCCCTCCCGCACCAGTGCTCCTTCTCTGTGCTTCAATGACTACAAATGACCATAGAGGGTTGCAGCCTCTTCCACATGAATTTATTTCGTTCGCTAGAGAAGAGAGAACACCACTAGACAGAGGGAAACAAGGGTTTTTTTGTGGTATATTTTTTGGACTAACTTTATAGTGGGAAGAGTTATTAGACAAGCTTTTATGCCCAAAGTGATATTCAGGTTGGGAGAAGAAGAAAGTGTTGCCTAATCAAATAAATGCTAGCTTGTGTTAACTCCATATTCAAAAGACGTCACCAAAAAAAGCCTTCTTTCTCATACATTTCCTGGACCACTATGGTTACAACAGCACTCCAACCCTACCACCAATGGACAAACAGGCCACTTAGCCTTAAAATGAGGATTCTCTACATCAGTGGTCTCCAAACTTTTTTGATCACACACCCCATCAGTAAAAAAAATTTGAGCACGCACCCCCAATATATGTATATTTATATAAATAGAAGTTCTAATATTTTCTTCCCGCACCTCAATGGATCGTCTTGCGCACCCCACTTTGGAGACCACTGCTCTACATCATTAGGCACTGATGGCCTAGCTTGTCTAATTGTTCAAATCATTTGCCCGTTCCTAAACAGACCCTTCTGGGACTGGCACCTTTTCGGCACAGAATAAAGGTGCTGCTTCTGCAAAAGGGAATTCTCTCTCCTTTTTCCTTCCTCCGTTTCCTTCCTGCTTTCCCTTTGCTTTCCTGCCTTTTGCTCTTATGATCTTTCCTCCTAACCCACATTCTCTCTTTCCTATCCTCACTGCTGTAGCTGCTGTAGCTTTATCAATCTCCTGCCTATTCTCATTATTACCCATCAAATTCCTGATGTCAAACAAGACCTC